AATTGAGGCAGACACTAAAATAACAAAAGATCTCACATGTTCATGGAGTGGTGAAACTAATAGGGCAAAATTTCTTTTTAATGAAAGACATGTATATTCAATTCAATCTTCATAAAATTATAATGTACTCTCCATAAGGCCAGAAATACAATTACAAAGTTCATATAGAAGAAATGAAAGCAAATACCAAAAGGAATGTGGTATAAAAGGAGTAATCCTGGATGTATCATACCTAATTTCAAAATTTCAATATCATAGTATGATAAAAAAAATTAAGATTTTCACTACCCTCAAGTGGTCACATAGACTTATAGAATTGGATGGATGGTGACCTGGAAGTCCATTGACATAGCCACAGCCATATGATTCTCAGCAACATTATCCAGAAACCTGAATGAAAAAAATACACTCTAAAATGATGGTCTTGTGAAAAGTGAATATTTACGCATAGAAGACTGAAAGTACATTGCTATCTGCAACTGTGTACAAAAGCTTTTTATGTGTATGCGTGTATTGATTTCATGTAGGTAAGTGCACCCGTATCGGGCAGTGTCCACGGAAGACGGGAGAGGCTGTCGGATCCCCTGGAACCGGAGTCAGAGACAGTTGTTAGCTGCCATGTGGGTGCTGAGATTTGAACCCGGGTCTTCTGCAAGAACATTCAGTGTTCTTAACTGCTGAGCCATTTCTCCAGCCCCTAGAGTAAAGATTTTAAGATAACACCTGAAATATTCAGAAGTGCTAGAGGATATAGCCAGGGGCAAAGAGTTTCTGAATAGGATATAAGTTGCTTTGGAAATAATTTTAACAATTACCTAATCCTTCTGGGCTTGAAGGTGCATACCTGTAATCCCAAGGAAGGTGAGGAGTTTAAGATTGTCTTCATTTATATTGTTCAAGGTCTCAAACAAAACAAAAAAGGATGGAGAACTGTTTTCATCCAAATGTAAATGTTCTGCCCAGCAATGAAAAAAATAACCAGAAAGAAGAGAAATCCTGTAGATTCAGACAAAAATCTTTGCCAGCTTTTCTTCCAACGTGGGATTAACATTCAAAGCATAGTTAAGAATTCAAAAATAGGTAAACATCGAAAGACAGACATCCAGTGAACAAATGTATAAATTGAAGTCATTCATCTAAAACATTAAAAATGATCAATAAGACATGGAAAATGTTTAGCATATTTACCAGTTAGGGAAATGCAATGCAAACTATAGTCTGATCAAATCACATACAAAGCAGCATGGTTTTGATCAAGAAAATAAGACTCAACCCGTTTTCGAGTACACAGGAAACAAAAAAACCCCTTATCCCTGGTAGTAAAAATATATGGTTGGCAAGCCTCTATGGAAATCACTTTGGAGTCTTTTTTTCATGGAAAAACTACTGTATGATGTGAGTATCTAACTCCTAGCTATGTGTAATACATGAATCAATTAATGTAAACATATGTTTCCCTGCAGGGTTATGTTTTTTCAAAGTACCATTTACAATAGGCAAGATACTTTCTCAACCTTTGTACCCATCATTAGATTCATAGATAAAGGTAAGGCATAGTCAATAATGGAGGGTTGTAGCCCAAAAGAAAAGCCAGATAATGTTTGCAGAGTATTGATAAAAGGGCACTTCATTATTTCAATTGAAATGAGTCATATTTAGAATGACACATATGAAATTTTTGTCTCATATAGGTGTATATCTCTATGAATTTAAAGAATGCGGGAAAGCTTTCT